TGGTCTAACCCCAGCCCCCCCTTCCAACTGCCCCCCCCCCGCAGCCCCATCAATTTATGTGAAAAGCTGTATTGTTCCCACCCATAAGGGAAGGAGAGTCAAGCTCTGAGTCAGCATAGATGGACTTCTGATTCCCTCCTGTATACTCACAGGTGGATAAACAGAGAGGTGTAAGGGTTCCCTATAGGTAAATACCCTGCTATTGCTTCTCGGCCTTTTGGCTAAGGTCAAGTGTAGGTAAGTACCCTTAAATCTAGAATCTAGAGTTTTAAGTCTAAGAAAATACAGGAAAAGGAAAAAGCACATGATGACTACTCAGACTGGAGTTTCAGTTCTATCTTTTCCCTGAAGACTTAATTTTGGATCTCACCTGAAAAAGCTTGTTGGAGAGAATTGGAGATAGGGAAGGTCAATGAGGAAATCTAGGTAAAGGAGTAGACAGACTTTCCTTCTGTTTCTTCCTATTGCCACACAAAGACCAACTAACCTTGGGTAGTCTGAGCCACCTCTTCCCCAATTCAGCCAGTGTCTCTAGTCTAAAACTGCTCTCTTGCTGGACCAATCTGGGTGAAGCTTCTTCAACTGAGCAGAGTTGCCTTTCCCAAAAGCTCTCATCACCTCTGCCTTCAGACCTTCCCAGCCCCAGTTCTGTCACCTTCCAGATGATAAAGCAGCTTGTCCTTCTCTTCCTCCTTGAAGCCAGGGGCAGAGGGCAACAGTTCTTCAACTGGCAGCTTTAGCTGGGTCAGGACATAAAGCTTGCCACTGAAGAACTACTGCGGCTCAGCCAGGTGAGGATATGGGAGGCATGGGCTCCTGAAAGGAAAAGGAAGAAAAATGGGAAAGATCTGAAGAGGGCTGTCGAAGCTCTGATAGACTTTTGACCTTGTATGAGGAGCTCTTGTCTTTTGCAGCTCAGTGAGACGCAAGAAGCAGTTCTAAACTTCCCCTTAAACCTCTTTACATGTGGGAAACTAAAGAAACCCTTAGCAACCCAGCAGATACTTCATTCAGGGAGGATAGGGCCTAAGATCCTGGACACACCCCACCAATAACTCACTATTAGGTGAGAAGATGGATCTCAGGTTCAGAACTGAGTTTAGTTATTGTCCCAACTGACTTGCTCCCAGGGAATTCAGCTGGAAAAAACTGGGTGGGGGTGGGGGGCTGGGGCTAATTGGGGAACAGTGTGGAAGCGGGGTGGTTTAGTTTGGAAGTTCAGCAGAGGCTCTGGGGACTTGAGGGAGAGAACAGCACCACCGAGGCTGGAGGGGAGGGAGGTATGGGCAGGGTGGCTGGGCAGCTTCCTCAGGACTCTCAGATGCCAGGCATTCCGCTTGCACATTCCGGGTACATCTGGTATGAATTCCAGGCTGTCTGCCGGCCCCTCCATGTCTGAACTTTGTTCCAAGTTCTAAGCCCCGCCCCCACAGTTCCAACGCATGAATCAGCAGGAAAAGCCGGGCCCTGCAGCAAGGCCTGGGAAGGGGGCTGGGGGTGTGGCAGGCTTGAGGGCGCTGAGCTGGGGAGGGCAGGTTTACCATGACACTCTGACCAAAGGCATGGCCCATACCAGATTGAGGGGTCGAGGCGATTTTGCCTTGAGAGTTCTATATACAGAGGGTAGAAAGATTAGGGTGGGGGTAGGGGTTTTCAAATTCTGAAAGCCTTTTGGGAGGCATGAACTTTGTAGTGGCTGTCTCTTCCCTCTGCTACGTGACAGCCCAACTCTGTGCAACTCCCCTCTGACATGACTCGGTTCAGTCCACAGGATTCAGCGGCTGCTGAGAGTCTGTGCCAAGCAGGTGCCCTTGGCTGCAGGGCGGGGTGGGCCCGGGGCTCTGACCCTCTGACCAGCTGCTCCATCAACCCTCTGGCACCCTGACAGCTTCTGGCCCAGTATGACAGCCAGGATGACAGGCCAGATGAGTTGAAGCCTGGAACTAGGGCCAGAGGGAGGTGGGGGCGATAGCTTAGCTGAGGCCATGGGGAGGGGCCAAGAGTTGGCCGGGAGGTGGGGAGAGAGGGAGCCCAGCGATGACTAACCCAGGCGCCCCACCCAGCTTCCAGGCGGTCGGTCGGGGCCTGGTCTGGGCTAGGGGCCTCAGGACCAGACAGGCTAGGGGGAGGTGCAAAGGTGACCTTCTCTCCGCCCAAGACGGCCAGTTGGGCTGGGGGGGCGGTTAAGAGTTTCCAGGCCCTCCTCCTGTTTGTTTCCTCCCCCCCCATCCGCCCAACCGCGGTGAAACCCTAACCTTTGGGTTGCATAAGGCACCAGTACTGCCGCCCCCTACTCCCTTCCCCTCCCCCCTTACATAACATCCCTGAAGGGAATGAGAGGAGGGACCGGCCCGCCCAGCGACCCCTTCCCTGCCAGGGAATTGAACTGGCCATGACCCAGTGAGCGCCGGTAAAGGAAAGCACCTCCTTGCTACCTGCTCGTCCAGATCCTCTCTAATCTAGATGGTGGGCTCCCGCATCCCCGGACCAGAGGGCGCCAGGGTTAGCCACCCCCGGCCCTCCCTCCGGCTCCTCATTTTCCTTTCAACTACTCTTGTCAAACCTACACCAGGACTCCCGTCTCGGACTTTTTCTTTAAACCTCCTGATATACAACTACAGCAGGTCCAGGTCCTTCTCCCCGGGAGCGCCCCTGCCCCGCCGCCCCCTCTTCCCTCCCCCGGAAGGGCAGGGTGTGGCCGCCAGGACCCCACTTTCCCCTATTACCCCGTTACCACAATTCCCCCCTGTATGACCGGGTCCCTAGATCACACCCACCTGGTGCTGGGTGTGGGGGCTGCTGAAGGTAGGGAAGCAAACCACTGCGTCCGCTCCCCACGGCCGGCGAAGCTGTCTCTTTCCAGCGCCCAGCACATACCGGCTCCAGTCCCCGATCAGCTGGCGGCGTCGTGACGCACAAGCCGTGATCACACCGCCCAGGGCCAATCACCGCCCACTGCTGGGCAACGTGACCACACCCACTCGGGGGCGCCTGCACTTCTCCCTGGTCCCGCCCCCCTAGTCATCTTGGCTCGATTGGCAAGGAGGCCACCCCTTTGCCTAGCGAAGTTGAGGTAAGCCACGCCCACTGCCTCCCGAGCTAGCCAATAGATGAAAAGGCGTGGCATAGCCCTCCACCTAAGGGACTTGCTTCGAAGAGCGCTACGTCAAATTTGAGTCTAAAGAGCAGAAGGAAGTAGAGAAGTGTGTATTTGCAGTGCAGACTGGTCTATGTAGTTCTACTCTTGATATTCTCGTTCCCAGAATGCAACGCGCTCTGTGAGTTGGCATTTTTAAACTGATCGCTAAATCCATCCCAGCGAAGTCCTTAAAGGGCTACAGCCCTTCCTTTTCGGAGCCGTGAGAGCTACTTTTAAACAATCGCAAGAATGATTCGCTGGCTTCTGCAGGAGACTGTAGCTCTTTAAGGAAAGGTGGAGCAGGCGAAGCAGCAGGAGTGCGCAGAGCTGAAGACTGAAATCAGTCTCCGGGGCAGCAAAGACTTTCGTAGAACTCTCGAGGGTTTTTGGAGGAGAGAGGATTGCTTACCTCTCCCAGCCCCAGCTGGAGATATCTAGTCCACCCCTCCTGGGAAGCCCTTTCTAACCAGAGAAGCCTTTTCTGGTAAATGCCTTGTCCCGGTCTCGTAAGAGCCCTAGTATCTGGAAGGCTACAGGTCAGAAACTGGGGGATGGAAAAGAAAAAAAGAAAAAGTAGGGGATAGGCCGTGCCAAAATGCCACTGGCCAGAAACGCCAATCTTTGATTAGTCCCCATTCTGTCCCGCCCTCCAAAGCTGTTCACTGACTCCGGCCTACTGGAAGAGATTTCGAAGGTGGAGACCAATGAGGAAGCTGCTCCTTTCCCAGGGGCGAATCAGAGTCTAGAGGGCGGGGGATGGGCAAAAATTGAAATGAACCCAATGACTTGGCAAAAGCTGATGAATTGCTTACTTAAAGGGGCAAACCTGGCACCCAGTCCGCTTCATCACTTGCCCACGCCACCGCCATCACCAAAGAGGCACACGTGGATAGAGGCACACATATCTTTTCCATAAGCTGCATATTATGGTGAGGGTGACTGAATCCTAGAGATGATCTTGGTGGAATAGCTGCTTTTGTGTTAAATACAGGCTCCAGCAGGTGATTGCTATGGTTCCTCACAACTCCAGAGTCCAGTCTGTTCAGAACATTGTGCCTTTAAGACTTCCTGCCTTCGGTCCCAGTAACAGTTGATTGTTGGAAAGTGTGACCTCAGGGGACAAATCATCTATTACCACATTCTCCTCCTAGTACCCTTATCCACCCACCATGGGTGGTGAGGAAAAGAAGGAAATGGAACCCCAAATATGGGGTAAATAATTGTATGATCCCCCCCCCCAATCTGAGTTAGTTCTTCAGGTTCTGAGCTTGGAATGAGAGGTATTTCCTGTCAGCACAGGCAGCTCAGACCCACCCTCTTGGTTTAGTGGGGAGGCCACTATTGGGAGTCCCTGAATGCTGGCTGGAAAGATGTGTGAGTGTTCCAGTAGGGTACTGGGGACCACACGGGACGCTGAGGCCCAGACCTACGGGAAACAAAAGGTGTGGAAAGCAAGCCCTGTGGTCAGGACCTTGCTTCCCAGGCCAGCTGCCCATTACTCTCTACTCAGGTTGCACTATTCTGTCCTGGCTTCACCATTTACTCCCCATTTAACTTCTTGGATGCCAGCCACCTGGTTCCCTGGCTGCTCCACTCTTTTTACTTTCAGTAGTACCCTCTGCTCCCTCCCACCCCCAAAAGTAAGGGTGCTGATGTGAAGCGGCCATGGGACTGCAAGTGAAACACACTGGTTCCAGCTTTGACTGGGAAGTCCTACAGAAAGACCCAAGTAAATATTTCCCCCAACCCTGAGCTGGGAGTCAGGGTCACTCCAGGACAAGTTTAGTATGAAGTCCCAGGACTGACTTGGCAAGGTTGGGAGAAACTGAGCAGGGCCCTGGCCAAGCTTGGAAGAAAGAGAAATCTTAGCAGCTGCCTCATTCTTTATTATTCTGAGTTTAGCAGTCCCATCTCCTTTCTACTCAGGGCCTTTGGGGTGGCCCTTTTACATTGTGTTCTCCCTAACCTTTTCCCACCCACTCCAGGTCAAAAGCACAGGCTATGACTCTGGGATTTTTAAACTTCAGTACTGTTGACATTTTGAGCCAGATAATTCCTTGGTGTGTGCATGGAAGAACTATGCAAAACAGGAAGCTTAATACCATCCCTGGTCTCCACTCCAGATGTCAATGACAACCCCAAATTGTGACAACCCCGTGTATCCAGACATTACCAAATGTCCTCTAGAAGCCAAAATCAACCCCAGTTGAGAACCCCTGAGTTGGACAAACTTGAATTCAAATTCCAGGTCCTTACTAGCTTATGGAAGATATTTTTCTCATCTACAAAAATAGGTGTAAATAATAAATATTCACGGTTTCTTGTTGGAATTTTAAAAACTTGTTTGAAGCTGGGCACAGTGGCGCATACCTGTAATTCCAGCTACTTGGAAAGTTGAAGCAGAAGTATTGCAACTTAGTGAGACCCTGTCTCAAAATAAAAATGGTTGGAGGTGTAGCTCAATGGTAGAGAGCCTGTAGGCTAAATATCCAATACCGCGCGCACACACACACACACACACACACACACACACACACAAAGAGAGAGAGAGAGAGAGAGAGAGAGAGAGAGAGAGAGTTAGGGGCCGGGAATTTAGCTCAGTGAGTTTATTCCCCAGTACCCTCCTCCCCAAAAAAGAGAGTTGGAACACTAAGTACAGTACCTGGTACACAGGCCCACAGTTGGTGGACTACATGTTAACTTCCTTCATTTTTCTCGCTGCCAGATCACCAAGAGCTGATCTTGCTCAGCATGGGCTAACTGCCAGGGCAGCTGCAATCTCCCTCTCTGACTATCTAAGATAAAACCTCCTGGAAACCCAGTATCAGGTTGGCAAAGGGGAGTGACTAATTTGGTTCCAGATTCCCCAAAGCCCAAGGATGCCTGAGGTGGAATTCAGAGAAGGACTTCTGCAGTGAGGGAGAGGACAATTTGGAAGTGGAAATATCATACAACATTATTAGCGCTGGGGATTTAGCTCAATGGTTCCACTGCCTGCCTCACGAGCACAAGGACTTGAATTTGAGCCAAGTACCAAAAAAAAAAAAAAAAAAGAAAGGACAGCATTATTATTATTATTAGTTCTGGAGGTTGAACCTAGGACCTTGTGCATGCTAAGTACTCTACCACTGAGCTGTAACCCATCCCCAGGGCATATTTTTCAAGATGTGCTCCATCCCTGGTAACAAAAAAGAAAGAGTACAAAAAATTTGGGTTGGGGATTTAGCTCAGTGGTACTGCTGCCTGCCTCCCAAGTGCAAGGTCCTGCCATTAGATCCCGGTATAAAAAAAAAAAAAGTAGCTGGGCGTGGTGGTGCATGCCTGTAATCCCAGCACTCGGGAGGCTGAGGCAAGAGGATCGCTGTGAATTGAAGACCAGCCTGGGCTACATAGTGAGCTCCCCGTCAGTCTCAACTACATAGTGAGATCCTGTCTCAAAAAACCACACACACACACACACACACAAAAATTCAGTTTCTGTGCTGAATTCAGTTGCTTTTCTGGTTGCTGAGACAAAATATCGAACACCAAAATTAAAGGAGGAAAGATTTTATTGTAGCTCACAATTTGGAGAGGTTTCAATTCACACTTGGCTGGCTCCAAGGCAGAGTGTCATGGCAGAGGGATATTACAGAGCAGGTAGCAAGAAACAACAGCAGCCCACTTTCTGTCTCTTGTATTTTATCCAGGTTACCTACTTTTAGGCTGTGTAGCATCTCACTTTGAATCAATCCTAGCATCACATCCTTGATCCCAGCATCATACATCCTAGATCCAGCCACTTCTAAAAAGCCCCACCTATGACTTTATCCCGGGCCTTTTGGAGACATCTAGACACAAGCCATTACAGCTGGGGATATAGCTCAGGGTTATACTACTTGCCCAACATGTGTGAGGCTCTGAGTTCCATCCCCAGTATCTCAATCAATCAATCAATCAATACCCTGGTTCTCACACCAGATTAATGACTCAGAAGTACATCCTAAAGTTTGGGAATGACTTCTCTCCTTGTTGAGGATGTAGTTCAGTGGTAGGGCACTTGCTTAGCATGAATGAGGCCCTAGATTTTGATTTCCAGCATTGCAAAAATAAAGACAAAACAACTTCTCTATGGCTCAGATCAGGGAAGTTGTAATACTCAGGAATCTCAGTGCTCCAGGGCCTGGCTCTGATTGCAAGGATATTTGAATTCTAGGTAGGGAAAGAACTGCAAGAAGTAAATTAGGTACACTCCAGGTCACTACTACCTATAGCAAAAAACCAACAACACTAGGGGGCAGCACACACACAGACTTCCAGAAAGCAAAAAACAATGCCCACTCTATCTAGGTAAATCTAATTTTATGGGTACTGAGAAGGGGACCCTACCTTCTGACCATCAAAACAGATCTTCTCCTGGGTTCCATCTCCAGCACCAAGAAAAAAAAATGTAGACAATGGAGGTATAGCTTAGTAGTAGAGAGTGCATAAAGGAGGCCGATGGGTTTGATTCCCAGCACCACAAATTAATTAATAATTAAATTTAAATTAAAAAATTAAACCAGGCACAGTAGCTCACATCCGTAATCCCAGAACTTGGGAGAATGAGGCAGGAGGATCCCTGTGAACTTGAGGCCAGCTTGGGCCTACACAGTGAGTTCAAAGATAGCTCGAACTACATAGACTCTGCTTCAAAATACTACCCCCAAAACAAAAAACAAAAACACCTAACGGACAAACTCCTATATCCTGGTATA